GGCCTTTCCTTCCCTGGGCTGGCTTTGAACCATGATCCTCAGATCTCAGCCTCCTGAGTAGCCAGGATTACAGGCGTGAGCCACTGACGCCCAGCAGAACAAAAGCCCTGGGGATGGGGAGAGAAGCCTCAGACCTGTGAATGCCCCCGCCCCTGCCCACACCTGCCCCATCTTGATGCCTGGGAAAGGTAGAGGAGGAAGAGGGTGAGAGCTCTGGGGGCTGGGAGTTGTGCCAACTTTCAGAAGATTCGTGTGTGGGTTCGAGCCATGTTGGGGTATAAGGAGACTCAGGGCAGAGCTCGGTGCATGGTAACTGTTGGCGGAGCAAAGATGGGAATGGTTAGGTGATTTGAACAGCAGCTCACCTCCCTCCGTTTCCTCCCCCACCCCGCCCCATCAGGGACGCAGCTGTCCGCACGGCCTCGGATGCCCGGGGCCTCTACCTCCCTGTGGGCACCAAGCATCACTTCCTGGAGCTGGACCAGATCGTGGGCGTCCTGCAGAAGGATCTCCGGGGCCTGGTGGTAAGGGGAGGGAGTGGGGGGGGGTCACAGGGGCCGGGCCCTGAGGCCTGGGCTCCGCCACCTTCCTTCCAACACTTCTGCAGCCCCCAGTGAGCCTCCTCCACCTTCCTTCTAGGCAGTCCTCAGGCACCTGCAACTGCGCATGCGCATGCATGCACACAGCCCTGCAGAGACGCACAATCTCAGCTCCTCATTCTGCTCCAGGGGACCTGGAGACCCCTTGGCCCAACCCCTCGATCCCAAAAGGAGATACAACTTAGAGTTCACTCTATGGTGCTGTCCTTCCTTCCTTCCTTCCTCTTTCCTCCCTTCCTTCCTTCCTTCCTCCCTTCTTTCTTTCCTCTTTCCTTCCTCCTTCCTTCCTTCCTTCCATCCTTCCTTCCTTCCTTCCTTCCTTCCTTCCCTCCCTTCTTCCTTCCTTCCTTCCTCTTTCCTTCCTTCTTTCTCTTTCTTCCTTTCCTCCTCTTTCTTCTGCCTTTCTCTTTCTTCCTCTACTTTTTTCTCTCTTTGGGGTGTGTGTGTGTGTGTGTGTGTGTGTGTGAATATCAGGGCTTAAACCCAGAGCTTTATGCTCTCGCTTGGCTTTTTCACTCAAGGCCGGTGCTCTACCACTTGAGCTCCCCTTGTGGCATTTTGGTGGTTTGTTGGAGATAAGAGTCTCACAGCCTTTCCCGCCCAGGCTACTGGCTTTTAGTCCCAGATCCTCAGATCTCAGCCTCCTGAGTGGTGGCATGGCATGTGTGATCCCCTGACCTCTGGAATGTCTTCCTGGAGGTTCCCATGGAGGGAGGGTGGGGCGGCCATTGTGGCCCCGTGACAGCCGGGGCGAGCACCAGGGGCCATGCGAGCTGGAGGCCGAAGGTCCACTCCCGCCTGAGAAGCGGAGCCAGGACCTCAGGCTCCCCCTCCATCTTGCAGAAGATGGCAGCCAAGGCGCCCTGCCCTGCTGGCCGGCGCCCCGGAGCACCTGCATGCCTGCAGCCCGGATTCTTCTTATTCTTCCTCCTCCTCCAGACCATTGGCTTCTTCTGCTACGTGAACTTCAGGTGAGCCTTCCCTGGGTGAGCAGAATGTCCCAGACTGCCCAGCGTGGCTTGGTTCTGGGCTGTAACTGCTCAGTTTGAGGCCTGGAGGGAGGCTGCAGGTCTGCCCCACAGCCAGAGCGGAGCGCACCAGGACCCTTCTTCCCCTCACCAACGCCACCTCGGTCCCCAAGAGGGAGAAAGTGACAGCTGACAAGCACATGGACAATGCTTGATGGCAGATGCTAGGTGTGCAAGAGGAAGAACTTTATTTTTTACTCTTTTTTTTTTTGTTGGTTGTGGGGCTTGAACTCAGGGCCTGGGTGCTGTCCCTGAGCCTCTTTGTGCTCAAGGCTAGCGCTCTACCACTTGAACCACAGCGCCACTTCCAGTTTTTGAGTGGTTAATGGGAGATATGAATCTCATGGGGACTTTTCTGCCTGGGCTGGCTTCAAACTGCGATCCTCAGATCTCTGTCTCCTGAGTAGCTAGGATGACAGGGGTGAGCCACTGATGCCCAGCTGAGAAAGAACTTTTATGTGTGCTGATGCTAGGGTTTGAACTCAGGGCCTAGGTGCTTAACACAGTGATCCTCAGATCTCAGCCTCCTGAGTAGCTAGGATGACATGTGTGAGCCACTAGCACCCAACTGCAAAAAGCATATTTTGGGGAGAAATGTCACAGTTTAACAGTGGAAGTAAATGGAAGAGCCAACGAAGTGAAATAGGGCAAAGAAGCCAGCTGTGGCAGTGTGTGCCCGTAAGCTCAGCACTTGTGAGGCAGTGGCCGATCTGGGAGGATCTAGAATTTGAGGACAGCCTGAATCACATAGAGAAACCTTCCTTCCTTCCTACTTTCCTTCCTTCCTTCCTACTTTCCTTCCTTCCTTCCTACTTTCCTTCCTTCCTTCCTTCCTTCCTTCCTTCCTTCCTTCCCTTCCTTCCCTTCCTTCCACCAGACCTAGGGCTTGAACTCAGGGCCTGGTACTGTCCCTGAGCTTCTTTTTTTTTTGGTCCGGTCGTGGGGCCTGAACTCTGGGCCTGGGCGCTGTCCCTCAGCTCTTCAGCTCAAGGCTAGGGCTCTACCACTTGAGCCACAGCGCCACTTCCGGCTTTTTTCTTATGTGGTGCTGAGGAATCGAACCCAGGGCCTCTGGCATGCAAGGCAAGCACTCTACCACTGAGCCACCTTCCCAGCCCCTCCCTGAGCTTCTTTTGCTCAAATTAGCACTCTACCCGTTGAGCCACAGCTTTTTCTGTGTATATAACACTGAGGAATCGATCGGACCCAGGGCTTCATGCATGCTAGGCAAGACTCTACCACTAAGCCACATTTTCAACCCAGAAAGACCCATCTTAAAATTAAAAAGAAAAAAAAAAGAAAAGATCTGGGCACTGGTGGCTCATGCCTGTCATCCTAGCTACTCAGGAGGCTGAAATCAAAGGATAACAGTTCAAAGTCAGCCCAGGCAGGAAAGTCCATGAGACTCTTATCTCTAACCAGCAAAAAGCCAGAAGTAAAGCTATGGCTCAAGTGGTTGAGCACCAACCTTAGGCTTTAACAAAGCTTAGGGAGAGAACATCCACGTCCTGAATTTGAGCCCCAGTATTGATGCGAGCTTGCACACACACACACACACACACACACACACACACACACACACAGGCCCAAGTAATCTCCTTGTCTCTGACAGCAGCAGGCAGGAGCTGGACCAGAGCCTTCGGGAATGTCTGTCCACAGTTCCCTTTCCTCTGGACCCTGCACCCCGCACCCCTGCACCCCGCATCCCTGGGGTGCTGGGGCTTCTCAGAAGGCAGCCGGTCTCCTCCAGCATGAATGCCTGAGCCCCCTCCAAGCTTCGTGTCTTGGGGCGGGGGCCCCGGTCGGTGGGTATCTGCCTCCTCTAAGCCCCCTGCTCCTGCCCACAGCCTGGCTTTGGAAGAACTTCTCCGAATTAAAGCGGCTTTCCGCCTGCTGGGCTTCCTGTGTCCTCACAGCCTCCTCCAGCTTCCCCAGTGCCTCCTGCCTCCCTCTGGGGGAGGTCTCTGGGAGGGAGTCCCAAGGACAGGGAAACGTGGGGGGCTTTGTTCCCACTGCGCCCCACTTCCCTGCACCCCTTTCCTCTGAACTGCTGAAGGAAGGGGGGCCATGTCTGGGTGGAATTCCATCACAGAGCCCCCCACCCCCCCACTGGGCGCGAGGCGTCTGGCTGTGCCCCCCCCCTCCGCCCTTGCTCCTCCAGCATCACCAGGCTCTGGCCCTGGGCACCCCAGGACCGGCAGGGTGGCATGTGACCTCAACTCTGCCAGGCAAATCTGGGGATCCATCCCTGGGAATCCCGCACCTTGCTCTCCTTTGGGGGGAGGTAGCGTTGGGGGGGCTGCATTGGGGGAGGCAATGTGTAGGGAGGGGGGGGTCCACTCTGAGCGTCTGTCTGCTTACTCGCAGCGACCTGGGTCTCTCTGCTGAAATCCTGGAGAGAAAGTTGAAATTGGGGAGGGAGCAGGGGTCGGGGCTGTGTGTATGGAGGCGCCCCCCCTCTTTCTCTAGGAAGCAGCCCCCCCACCCAGGCGGGCGGGCTGTCAGCCGTGGCCAGCCGGGCTGGGCGTTGAAGGAGGCGGGGGGTGAGGCTGGGCACGTGGTCCGGCCTCGCCAGCCCCGTGCGGGGCCCCCCGCCCCCCGTGGGGGGAGCGTGGGGAAGGAGGTGCAGCAGAGCCCGGCTGGCGGCCGGAGCTGTCCAGGGGCCCCGGTGCTGAAGCCGATTGCCAGGGTGGTGACAGAGGCGCCGGCTGCAGAGGCTGCCCGGGACCATGGCGTTCATGGTGAAGACGATGGTGGGCGGCCAGCTGAAGAATCTCACCGGGAGCCTGGGGGGCGGTGAGGAGAAGGGAGACGGGGAGAAGTCGGCGGCCGAAGCACAGGGCATGAGCCGGGAGGAATACGAGGAGTATCAGAAGCAACTAGTGGAAGAAAAGTAAGTGGGGGTCCCCCTGGCTCCAGAGACACCCCCCCTCCCAGCACCCCAAGCCACCTAAACCTCTGGAGGGCTAAACCTCCATCCAAGCCCCTCTCCCCTTTCTTCCTAAACTTGACAAGAGGCTGGGGACAGGGGGTCCAAGCCTCCATGATGTTCCCAGGTACCCCATCTCACACCCCCAGAACCCCCGCTTTGATTCTCAGAGGGGGTGGGGAGGGGGAGGGGAGCACGCCCTTCCCTGGGTAATCTTTTAATCCGATGGAGTCTCAGCTGCCTGCCTGTGGCTTCCAGCGAGGGCTCCGCTGTGTCTGAGGATCTGAGACAAACAAACAAATAAATAAACAAGAGGGGGGGCTCAGATCCTGAGTTGGGGGCGCGCAGGCATTGAGCCCCACTTGTAGGCATTGGTTCTGGCCCTAGGTAGCTGGAGCTGAGACTCTGGACTCCGGCCAGGCTGCCTGGGTTCCCAAAGATCTTGGCTTTGCTTTCTCTACCCGCGGAATAACTTGCAAGTTCCTTCTCTTTCCTCCTTTCCTCTTCTGGAAAATGTGGGGGGGGGAGTGTCATAATTAGCATAGGAATGAAGGCTAAGTGACTTGGGGTGCATAAAATCATCGAGTCACAGCAGCCAGCCCATGACATATCGTGAAACGTTACCAACTGCTCTTCCACTTTTCTCTTTCTTGTGCCAGTCCTGCGGCTTGAACTCGGGGCTCGGGTGCTCTCTTTTAGCTTTGTTTGTTTGTTTGTTCAAGGCTGGTGCTCTCCCACTTGAGCCACACCTCCACTTTGGACTTTTTACTAGTTCTTTGGAGATCAATAAGAGGCTCACAGACTTTTCCTTCCCCCAGGTTGGTTTCAGACTGTGATCCTCAGATCTCAGCCTCCTGGGTAGCTGGGATGACAGGCGTGAGCCACTGGTGCTCAGCTTATTTCAGCCTAATTTTACAAGAGAGAAAGAGGGACTTGCTCAAGGTTGTGCTTGGAGCACCAGTCTGCCCTCAACATCTTCCTCCACCCAAGGGGTGTGGAGGGAAAGATCTGAGTGGAAGTCCACAGGGGGTGAACATTAGAGTCTGCAGAGACTCAGTGGCACCCCTTCCTGGTTGGCTCTGTCCAGTGTAGGGATGAGGAGGGACAGCAAATGGTTGGAGTCCCAACTTTCCCAGACCGGTGGGAATCCCGCTGCGCCCCCCACCTCACCCTGGCTCCCTACATTGAAGACTCCGCTCCTCTCCCCCCTCCCCCTGCAGGATGGAGCGGGATGCACAGTTCACGCAGAGGAAGGCCGAGCGGGCCACGCTGCGGAGTCACTTTCGTGACAAGTACCGGCTGCCTAAGGTAGGGCCTGGCACGCTGAGCTGGACTCTGGCACTGACCGGGCAGGGGGCAGACACTGCAGTCCTCAGCCCTGAGATATTCCTTCCTACCTCCACTTCCGTGTGTGTGTGTGTGTGTGTGTGTGTGTGTGTGTGTGTGTGAATGCCGGTTGTGGGGCTTGAACTCAAGGCCTGGGCGCTGTCCCTCAGCTCTTCAGCTCAAGGTGCATGCTCTACCACTTGAGCCACAGCACCATTTCCAATTTTCTGGTGGTTAACTGAAAATAAGAGTCTCACAGACTTTCCTGCCTGGGCTGGCTTTGAACCGAGATCCTTAGATCCCAGCCTCCTGAGTAGCTAGGGTGACAGGCGTGAGCCACTGACACCCTGCTGAAGATGGGTTTTGATACTTGTTTTTGCCTGAGCAGGCCTCAAGCCTCAACTTCGTGATCTTCACTTGGAGATGTGAACCTTTGTGTCAGGAAGGGGACACGAGTTCGAATCTAGATCCTGTTTCCTAGTTGTAGTCGCCATGTCTTCTTTGCAGGAAATGTAACAAACGGAGCTGGGAATGTGGCTTAGTGGTAGAGTGCTAGCCTTGAGCAAAAGAAGCTCAAGGACAGTGCCCAAGCCCTGGGTTCAAGCCCTAGCACTAGGGGGGGAAAATGTAGCAAATGATATGGTGTCTGGGAGCTCATGGTGCACGTCTGTTATCCCAGCTACTCGGGAGGCTGAGATCTGAGGATCGAGATTTGAAACCAGCCCAGTCCAGACAGGAAAGTCCAGGCCCTGAGTTCAAATCCCAGGATTGGAGAAAGAAGAGAGAAAGAAAGAGAGAGGAAGGGAAGGAAAGAAAGAGGGAAGGAAGGAAGGAAGGAAGGGAGGAAGGAAGGAAGAGAGGGAGGGAGGGAGGGAGGGAGGAAGGGAGGGAAGGGAGGGTTGGGCACTAATGATTCACACCTGGGATCTTTGCAAAAAGCTCAAAGTAGAGCTGTGGCTCAAGTGGTAGAGCACCAGCCTTGAGTGAAAAAGCTCTGGGATAGCGCCTAGGCCCTGAGTTCAAACCCACAACTGTCACACAAAAAAGCAGGGTGTCTAGAACCCCAGTCCTGGCTTTTTTCTTTGCCCCTCCCCCAGCCCTGGGTTCCTCACAGCATTTCACCCCCTCCCCCCTTTCTCCCTACAGAACGAGACAGATGAGAATCAGATCCAGATGGCCGGTGGGGACGTGGAGCTGCCCCGGGAACTGGCCAAGATGATCGAGGAGGACACGGAGGAGGAGGAGGAGAAGGCCTCGGTGCTTGGGCAGCTGGCCAGCCTCCCGGGCCTGGACCTGGGCTCCCTCAAGGACAAGGCTCAGAGCACGCTGGGGGACCTGAAGCAGTCGGCTGAGAGATGCCGCGTCATGTGACCGAGTCCTGCGGTCACCTGTGGCGTGTGCAGACGGCCGAGCCCACTGAGGGCTGTGGGCTCACAGCTGCCCAAGGGCCCAAGACCCCCATTGGGGCTTTGCTTTCCTTTCCTCTAACCTCAAACCCTTTTCATCCATGCTCCAAGTAAACCTGCCTTCTGGCTTTCCCCTCTCCACTAGGAAAAGTTGGTAGTTCTCCTTCGGCCCCCCCAGAACCCCAATTTTTACTCAGCCCGGGGAGAGGGGGGGCTCAGCAAGGGCCATGCAGACACACACACTTCCTGATGCACACAGCTGTGTCCTCAGGGTGCCTGCGTCCCTCCAGACCCCAATGCCCAGACACCCCAACACCTTGGCACCCCAACATGAGGCTTTAGGAAGATAAGAGGTCTGAGTTCCTGTCTCTTGAGAGCCCCAGCTCTTGGGCTGGGTGTGTGGCTCAGTGGTAGAGTGCTTGCCTAGCATGCATGAAGCCCTGGGTTCCATTCCTCAGTACCACATACACAGAAAAAGCCGGAAGTGGCGCTGTGGCTCAAGTGGTAGAGTGCTAGCCTTAAGCAAAAGCAGCTCAAGGACTGTGCCCAGGCTCCGAGTTCAAGCCCCAGGACTGGCAAAAAAAAAAAAAAGGAAAAGGAAAAGAAAGAAAAAGCAAAAGAAAAGAAAGTCATGGCTCTTTCTGGGCTTTATTTATTTATATATGTATTTATTTATTGCCAGTCCTGGGGCTTGAACTCAGGGCCTGGGCACTGTCCCTGACCTTCTTCTGCTCTAGGCTAGCACTCTACCAACCCGAGCCACAGCGCCACTTCTGGCTTTTTCTGTGTATGTGGTACTGAGGAATTGAACCTAGGGCTTCAAGCATGCCAGGCAAGCACTCCACCACTAAGCCACCTTCCCAGCCCCTGGTCTTCATTTTATCATCTGTAAAAGGGGACCAAACTAGCTAGGTGCCGGTGGTTCATGCCTGTCTTCCTAGTTACTCAAGAGGCTGAGATCTGAGGATTGAGGTTCAAAGCCAGCTCAGGCAGAGAAATCCAAGGGATTCTTATGTCTGTTTAAACACCAAAATGTCAGAAAGGGAGCTGTGGATAAAGCTAAAAGCTAAGTGACAATACCCAGGTCCCGAGTTCAAGCCCTAGTATGTACACACACACACACACACACACACACAGAGGCACGCACGCAGGCATGCACAGGAATAAATTGATTTCTAAAGTTCTATCCTTCTGGGCATCTTGGAGCCAAGCCCATGCCCTTCCAGGCAGGGTAGCAGCTACCACGGTGGGCTCTGGGATTTGAGCAGAAGGCCAGCGAGGAAGCTGCACTGCAAAGCAGCCAGGAGGCTCCCGGCCTTCTCTGGGCCCAGGGCCCGGCCAGTTTCTGTTCTGTTCCTGTAGAACTCTCTCTCTCTCTCTGGATTCCATAGCAGGAATCTCCTCTCCTAACAAATAAAGATTCCAGATGACATGGATGGCTTCCCACTTGTCATCATTGATCTTTTCTTTCTTTCTTTTTTTTTTTGTCGATCATGGGGCCTGAACTCTGGGCCTGGGCGCTGTCCCTCAGCTCTTCAGCTCCAGGCTAGCGCTCTACCACTTGAGCCGCAGCACCACTTCCAGTTTTCTGGTGGTTTATTGGAGAGAAGAGTTTCACAGCTTTTCTTGCTCAGGCTGGCTTTGAACCATGATCCTCAGATCTCAGCCTCCTGAGTAGCTAGGATTACAGGAGTGAGCCACCAGCGCCCAGCTCATCATTGATCTTGAGTCTTGGAGTTCACCAGCCCCACCCCCCGCTCCAAACCTACCCTTGTGAGGGAGTCCTCTAACACCTCCCTTCATAGCGGAAGGGGACATCCATCCCTGAGAGAGGAAGGGTCCTGTGCAAAGCTCAGCCCTTATAAGATGTGTGACTTCAAGCTGGGTGCTGGTGGCTCACGCCTGTCATCCCAGCTACTCAGGAGGCTGAGATCTGAGGATTGTGATTTGACACCAACTTGGGCAGGAAATTCCAAGTCTTTCATCTCTGATTAATCAGCAAAAAGCTGGAAGTAGTGATGTGGCTCAAGTGGTAGAACACCAGCCTTGGATGATAAAGTTAAGTGACAGTGCCCAGGCCTTGAGTTCAAGCCCAAGGCTTGGCCAAAACAAAAAAGTTTCTGAGCCCCAGAATGATAATAGCAACAGCACAAGTTTCAAAAGGTGTTCATGTTTGTTGTTGTTTTCCCCTCTCTTCTTTCTTTCTGGCAGTATCCAGAGTCTGGTACATGCTGGGCAAGTGCTGTGCCATTGAGCTACCTGTACATGGGAGGCCATAAGATCCATCCATAAATGGTACCCATCCTGTAAATGAGCAAGGAAGGGTTGGGTGAGCACCCCCTGCTGGGCTGCCTTGGAAAGGCGTTGCCTGGTACCAGGGCCGAGGGAGGAAGCTCATCCTGGTCTTAAGATGAGTTTGTGCCTCAGTAGAATTTTTTTTTTCCAGTTGTGGGGCTTGAACTCTGGGCCTGGGCACTGCCCCTCAGCTCTTCAGCTCAAGGTGTGTGCTCTACCACTTGAGCCACTAACTCAAGCCTGGCCCCTTTTTTATTTTTATTTATATTTTTTAAAAGCTCTTTAGGGCCGGGAAGGTGGCTCAGTGGTAGAGTGCTTGCCTCGCATGCATGAGGCCCTGGGTTCGATTCCTCAGCACCAGCAGAAAAAGCCGGAAATGGAGCTGTGGTTCAGGTGGTAGAGCGCTAGCCTTGAGCTGAAGAGCTGGGGAACAGCACCCAGACCCAGAGTTCAGGCCTCACAACCACCACCACCAACAAAAAAGCTCTTTAGTAAAGCCAGGCACCAATGGCTCACATCTGTAATCCTAGCTACTGAGGAGGCTGAGATCTGAGGATTGCGGTTCAAAGCTAGCCTGGGCAGGAAAGTCCATGAGGCTCTTATTTCTAATAAACCACCAGAAAATCAGAAGTGGCATTGTGGCTCAAGTGGTAGAGAGCTAGCCTGGAGCTGAAGAGCTCAGGGACAGTATTCAGGCCCCACAACCGACACGCCCCCCCCCAAAAAAAAAGGGAGCCAGTGGCTCACACCTGTAATCCTAGCAACTCAGAATGCTGAGATTTGAGGATCGTCATTTGAAGTCAGTCAGGCCAATAAATCTGAGAGACTCATCTTCAATTAAAAAAAAAAAAGCTGGTGTAATCCTAATTTTTCAGGAGGCTGAGATCTGAAGATCACAGTCCAAAGCCAGCCCAGGCAGGAAAAGTCCATGAGACTCTTATCTCCAAAAAAAACCACCAGAAAACCACAAGTGGCGCTGTGGCTCAAGTGACAGAGCACTTGCCTTGAGCTGAAGAGCTGAGGGACAGTGTCCAGGCCCAGAGTTCAAGCCCCATGACAGACCAAAAAAAAAAAAAAAAGGAAAAAGAAAAGGAAGAAAAAAGCTGGAAATGGAGGAGTGGTTCAAGTGGTAGAGTCTTGAATGAAAAAGCTGAGACAGCACCCAGGCCCTGAGTTCATGCCTCTGTACACACACACACGCACACACACACACAGAGGAATGTATGCAGTGGGTGTCCTGGGGGCAGATCACAGACAGCGAGCGCCAGGCTGAGGCGGCTGGTGGGCAGAGACTCAGGCTCTGGGTTGGGGGGCTGTCACCTCTCTCCTGGGTTCCAAGCTGCTCCTGGTGGGTCTGTGGGGACGGCCTGGCAGGGCCACTGCCCCAGGCCTGTCCTGACCTTCCCGGAGCTGGAGCTGGGGGTGGGGGCAGCGGGGCGTCGGTGGCGGGCCCACGTCAGCCTCTGCCCTCCAGCGGCCTTCTGCCTAATGGAACTGGACAGCACCTTCCCCCTCAGTGCTTCTGAGGGGGAGGAGGCAGGCTGGGCACTCACTGAACCCTGTCAACGCCGGGCTGCTTGGCACCTGGGGTCAGGAAGGGGGAGGGGACTGAGCCTCCACACTGGGGAACCCCAAGAGGCTCTGGCTGGCTACAGGATCCAGAAATGGGGTGTAAACAGCCCTAAGGAAGGAGTCCATTGTTTTGGTTATTTTGTGTGATTTGATTTTACTTTTTGTGTCTGTCCTGGGGCGTGAATTCAAGGCCTGGGCATTTCCTCTGAGCTTTTTCTTGTCTGTCGTGGGGCTTGAACTCTGGGCCTGGGCGCTGATGCTGAGCTCTTCAGCTCAAGACAAGCGCTCTACCACTTGAGCCACAGCGCCACTTCTGGTTTTGGGGTGGTTTATTGGAGATAGTCTCAAGGACTTTCCTACCTGGGCTGGCTTTGAACTATGATTGTCAGATCTCAGCCTCCTGAGTAGCTAGGATGACAAGTGTGATTCACAGGTGCTCAGCAAGAAGGAGCCGGTTTGGGGGCTCAGGTAGAGAAGGGGGAGGAGGGCAGACTGCGGTGGCCTTTTCTCCATCAGCCTGCCATGTGGGGCCCTCCATCCACCATGTCCTGTGTCCCCACCCCCTCCCCTCTGCCTCACATTCCCCTGGGGGCCAACCTGGCCAATCAGGAGCCCTCTGCTGCACTGGCCCCACCTCCTATGCCCTGAGGCCTGATATCCATTCGCTCTCTTTCCATCTTGTGTCCACTGTTGATTCTAGATAACTCTAAGCTTCGTGACAGATCCACCTGTGGGGAGAAGGCCATAAAGAAAGCCACTCTTGCCAGGCAGCTGGTGGCTCACGCCTGTCATCCTAGCTACTCAGGAGACTGAGATCTGAGGATCATGGTTCAAAGCCAGCCACAGCAGTAAGTCCATGAGACTCTCATCCCCAATGAACCAGCAAAAAGCCCATTAGTGAAATCTGTGGTTCAAGTGGTAGAGCGCTAGCCTTACACACACACACACACACACACACACAGAGGAAAGTGAGAATGTGAGAATTCCGTCAAGTGCTCTGGCTCCACCGTTCCCAGTTCAGAGTCCAGCACCCGGGGGCCCCATCCGAGGAGTCTCCAGCCCCTTCTTTCTGTGTTCCCCCCACCCACAGAGCTCAGGCCTGAGTCCCACTGGGAAGGGGGTACCGAGAGCAAGTGACTTCCCAGTGGCCATCTGGTGTCCGGGGAGGCGCTGGGGCGGGTGGCTTTGGGTTTGGCGTCATAGCTTCTGCCTTTGCTACAGCCAGATGGTGTCTCCTCAGACACTGGACGCCCCGGGACATCTGGGCATGTTCATTTGCCCAGCCAAGCTGCTGGCAGGGCCTTCTGATGCAGCTGATGCTCAGCCCGGGCCGTCCTCCATCCCGCTGACCCGAGGCTGCCCCGACTCCAGCCCGGCCAGTATACAGCTTAGCTGGGCATCTGTCAGTACCTGGGAGCTTGCATATGGCTTTCCGTCTCTGTGTGTGTATCCCAAGAGTTCAAAGCTGTGTACATGGCCATGGGGGAAAGGGACAAAAGCATTTGAGCTGATCTCCTGTATAAATCAAGCTTGTTTTCTGTGCTGGTCCTGAGGCTCGAACTCAGGGCCTGCGAGTAGTCCCTGTGCTTTCTTGATCGAGGCTAGCGCACTAGCCACAGCTCTACTTTTGGATTTTTCAGTGGTTAGTTGGAGGTAAGGATCTCAGACTTTCCTGTTCTGACTGGCTTTGAACTATGATCCTCAGTCTGACTCCTGAGCAGCTAGGATGACAGGCATGTCTTTCCCCCAATCCAAACACAATGGAGGGAAGGGAAGGGGGCTGAGGCACCTGGCTGGGGAGCAGAGGGAAGGCCCTTGCTGGGCTCCCATGGCTCCCTGACCCCCTAGGCTCGGCTGGACACTGCTAGACCTCTGGGGGCTGAGGGCAAGAGGTTGTTTGCCATTCTCTCGATGCTACCTTCCTGGGTTCCACCTGCATTTTCTTTCTTTTTTGTCAGTCCTGGGGCTTGAACTCAGGGCTTAGGCACTGTCACTGAGCTTCTCTGGCTCAAGGCGAGCATTCTTACCACTTGAGCCACAGCTCTACTGCTGGCTTTTTCTGTGTCTGAGGTACTGAGGAATGGAACCCAGGGCTTCAGGCATGCTAGGCAAGCACTCTGCCACGGAGCCACCTTCCCAGCCCCTCCAGCTGGATTTCTATGCTTGAGCCCTCTTCTCTATCTCACCCAACCGGCAAGCAGGGCCAGGTCTGTTTATCCAAGGGCAAGAAAGAGATATACAAGTACCAAAAAATAATTTAATAGAGACGACGATGAGGAGGAGCTGATGCCAAAACCGGCAGTGGAGGCAGCTAGAGATCACCAGCACTGTGGCGGGTTTTTGTTGTTGTTGTTTTTGGCCAGTCCTGGGGCTTGAACTCAGGGCCTAGGTGCTGTCCCTGAGCTTTCCTGCTCAAGGCTAGTGCTCTACCACTTGAGCCACAACTTTTTGAGCCATGGCTTTTTGTTGGTTAACTGGAGATACAGTCTCTTCTGCACAGGCTGGCTTCAAATTGCAATCCCTAGATCTCAGCCTCCTGAGTAACTGGGATTGTATGTGTAAGTCACCAATGCCAGCCAACACTGTGATTTTTTTGGGGGGGAGGGGGGTTGGTTGTGGAGCCTGGGCCTGAGTACTGTCCTTCAGCTCTTCAGCTCAAGGTTAGTGTTCTACCACTTGAGCCATAGCACCACTTTCCAGCTTTTTCTGCTTATGTGGTGCTAAGGAATCAAACCCAGGGCCTCATATATGCAAGGCAAGCGCTCTACCACTGAGCCACCTTTCCAGCCCCAACACTGTGATTGTTAAAAAAGAAACCATCAACACCGGTATCTGTCATCCTGGCTACTCAGGAGGCTGAGATCTGAGGATCACAGTTCAAAGTCAATCCAAGCAGACATATCTGAGAGATTCTTATCTCCAATTAACCAGAAAAAAAAAAAAAACACCCAAAACCCAACAACTGAAAGTGGAGGTGTGGCTCAAGTGGTAGAGCACAGGTAGAAGGCTTTGAGTTCAAGTCCTCCAGAAAGGCCAAAACAATACCATTGAATTAACTAAACATAGGTTCAATCTCCTCTGGGTAAAACTCGTCTGTGCGTGGTGTGGACCCCATTCAGAGGTGGGGAGAACCAGGCCTAGGCAGGCCCGAGGCCCAGCACGGGGCTCATTCTGTGGCCAGTCCCTGGAGAGGGCTAGAGACGGAGGATGAAGATCAAAGACCTCTACCCTGTACGGAGCAGAAACAACACATGAGGCTCACAAAGGCGATGGCGTTCATACTTGAAGGATTGTCCTGAAGCGCCACGTGGCAGTAGGCGGTGACCCCAAAGCCCAGAGCGCTCTGTGGGGCTGAGCGCGCACTGCGGAGTGGACAGTCCTGAAGGGCCTCGGGCGCCCCCTCCAGTGAGCTGGAAGAGGAGCCCAGGGTGCAGAAGTGTCCTGTTCAGGCCCTTAACTTCTTAAGTCCACAGGGAACTTGATGCCCTGAGACAGCTCAGACCCCCTCAGGTCTCAGCAAAGAAACGTGCACGGTGGTGCACACCTGTAATCCCAGCTACTCCATCTGAGGATGGAGTTGCAAAGCCAGATTGGGCAGAAAAGTCCAGGAGACCCTTCTCTCTCTAACCATGAAAAAGCAGCAGAGGTGTGGCTCAAGTGGTAGAGCACCAGTCTAAAAACTACTAGGCAGTGCCAAGTCCAGTTCAAGCCCCAGGACCAACACACACATATACACACACACATACAAAAAAAAGGGAGGGGGGGAAGGAAAAAGAAACTCCTCCCCGAGTGTGGGCCGCAGTGCTCCCACTGCACAGACCCATGGGGCGGGGCGGGGCGGGGTTCGGGGAGGCGTAGCTCGTGACGGTGGGGTCTGCGAGTGTCCATCCGGGAAGCTCCCCAGGGACGCGTGCCATTCTGGGCATCGGCCTGGCTCAGTGTGTCCCTTCGCTCTGTCCAATGCCCCTCTGGGGTCACTGTAGGGTGCACGCTGTAGGAAGGGGGACATGGGACACATGGGACACTCAGGACTTCGGCAAGAATGGCCAAAGCCACCCCCCCCACCCCCCGTCGTGGCAGCCGGGGCCAAACTCACAGCTGCGAACTGATTCCGACAGGCCCTCTCGGTCCAGGCTGTCCGTTCCCCATGGAGAATCCTTCATCTGCAGGATGGGTTGAGGCGGTTGAGGCCAGGCCCGGGACCTCAGCATGCACCACGCAGATGAAGAGGACCCCCTGTCCCCCCCCCCCACGGGGCCCTTCCCACCACGCCCACCTTAACCCGCTCCTTCAGGTACTCAGCTCGAGCCATGAGGCTCTGGACCTGCAGGGAAGACAGGCCCGTGAGACCCCGCGTGCCCATTCCGATGGCTCCCTCCTCCACGAAGCCTTCCAGGGCCGCAGCAACCCCTAGGCCCCCCGTTCCCAGCCCTGGTGGGCACCTCAGCGTGCAGCAGCTCCCGCCTCCGGCCCGCGGGCTCCCCTGGAAAGAGAGAGCAGGCGGTGAGGGCAGGGCGGCCAGCGGCCTGGGGGCACCAGGGTGTTGGGGGGCGGGGGTGCTGGGGCCTCACCCGCCAGCAGCAGCAGCAACTCCCCCAGGCTCTGCTGGTACAGATCCAGGGCGTCCTGCTCCCCGCCAGCTTCCTCCTCCTGCGGCCACGTGGTCACGGGTCACGCCAGTCCCCCTGGGCTCCCTGCCCTCCGCCCCGCCCACCAGGACACACCTTGGCCATGGCCGCTGAGGCGACGTCCAGGGCGGCTAGGAGGCGCGGCTTGTCCCGGGCCATCTCTGGGGTGAGGGGCAGAGGTGGGGGGGTGAGGGCGATCCCCTTGGGCTGGGGGGGGGCGGATGGTCAGCCAGGGGCCGCGGGGGGTACTTACCTCTGAGCAGGTCTCGGCCCGAGGCCCCCTGGCCCAGCAGGGCCTGGTTGGAGGAGGTGACCACAGCCTTGAGCTCCTCGGCGCGTGACACGTACTGCCCCACCTGCGGAGGGGCAGAGGGAAGCCCCAGCCGCCCGGCGGCACCCCCCCCCACATCAGCAGTGATGTCCCTTGGCGGTCATCACCCCCCAGAGGCTTGGGACCCCTGGGCCCTCTCCCCCGACCCCAACGACCTCACCCACCTTTGCCTTAATCATCTCCTTCCGCTGGGCATCCACTTCATCTGCAGGAAGGGGGTTCACATAAGCAGTCTGGTGAGGGGAAACCTCTGCCTTACACAAAACCCTCCAGAATCCTCCCCGCAAACACACCCCAGCTCCAGGTGGATCCTCTACCTTGTCCCCTGTAAGGTTTGCTTTTGTTTTTGGTGCCAGTCCTGGGGCTCGCACTCAGGGGCTGGGCACTGTCCCTGGGTCTTTAGATCAAGGAGGGCGCTCTATCACTGGAGCTTCAGCTCTACTTCCGGCTTTCCGGTGTTAACTGGACATGAGAATCTCTTGAATTTGTCTGCTCAGGCTGGTTAAGAATGGTGAGCCTTGGGGCTGGGAAGGTGGCTCAGTGGTAGAGCGCTTGCCTTGCATGCATGAGGCCCTGGGTTCGATTCCTCAGCACCCCATAAGCAGAAAGAGCCGGCAGTGGCGCTGTGGCTCAAGTGGGAGAGTACTTGCTTTGAAGCTGAAGAGCCGAGGGACAGCGCCCGGGCCCAGAGTTCAGGATGACAGGCGTGAGCCACAGCTGCCAGGCTCTCTTGTAAGACTCTAGATGGGGAACTGCGGGGCCCATCACTGAAGCTAGAGCTGACACCCCCACTCTGAACCCAGGGCTGCGGGGCACTCACAGTGCAGGGCAGGCACAAAGAAGTCCAGAGCCTTGCAGTAGAGGGAGAGCGCAGCCGCAGCGTCCCCCTCCTGGTCCTTCTTCACGGCCTGGACCACCAGCGCTGTCTGGGGCAGTCAGGACCACCGCCATCAGCCCCTCGGCCCACCCCGGGCCTCGGTGGCCCAGGCCCTGTTCCCCACCGGAAGGGGTGGAGGGGACCCCACACCCTCCATGCCGGCTCACCGCCCGGGCCATGCTCTCCCCGCTGGGCATGTGCTCCAGGTCCACCCACGGGTGGGCAAAGAAGTCCTGGAAGGAGATGCGGTGGCTGGGGTCCCGCACCAGGAGTCTCGTCAGCAGGTCTCGGCATTCTGGGGAGAGCGGGGGCCGCAGGGGGAGCTGCAGGAGGGGTGAGGCGGGGCAGGTCACCCGGGGCTCCTGCGCCCCAAGCCAGCGGCCTGTTGGGACCCACAGGGACATATCTGACAGGCAGAGACTCGGACCACGGGGAAGAACGCGTGGTCAAGGGGCTGACCATGAAGTCTTCTTCCCCGGAGAAAATGGCCCGATTCTGCTGTGGCCTTCTTGTCTGTGTGTGCTGGTTCTGGGATTTGAACTCAGGATCTGGGCGCTGTCCCAAAAATCTTGTGCTCAAGGCTAGCGCCCTACCACTTGAACCACAGCTCCACTTCTGGCTTTTGTGGTGGTTCACTGGAGATAAGAGCCTCATGGACTTTCCTGCCTGGGCTAGCTTTGAACTGTGATCCTCAGATCTCAGCCTCCTGAGTAGCCGGGATGACAGGCGTGAGCACCAGCGCCTGGCTGCTGTGGTCTCCTAGACCAAGGCCGACACAGCAGTCTGCAAAGCAGGCCCTTTGCTGCCTGCCATGGCTAACTTGAGAGTCTCTGGAATGAGCCAGAACCTTCCAGATGTAGGCTCTGGAGTAGGGCCCACTGACAGGAAGGCAGCGTGGGGTGCACAGGAATCTGTGCAGACAGGGGTCCCCACCAGCTGTCAGCAAGGCCCTGAGGGGCTCACCTCGATAACCCGGTTACTACGGATCTTCTCCTCCAGCTCTGAGAAGGACCTGGAGGCAAACGGGGGCTGCCCGAAGAGGGCTTCTGCGGAGGGAGGCAGAGGCGAGGCTGGGGGTGTGGGCAGAGCCTGGCCCACCCCTCAGGAGGGGGCCTAGGGCCCCCCAGAGCAGGGATCCTGGCACTCAGGAGTGACCCGAGGGTCCACGGTGGTGGGGAGCAGGGGACCAAGGTCTCACCATACAGGATGACCCCCACAGACCAGAGGTCCACGCGGGCGTCGTAGTGCCGCCGACACACCATCTCGGGAGCCATGTAGAGGGGGGAGCCCCGGAGCACGTGTTTCTCATCCCACGGGGACATGTGCTGTGCAAAGCCAAAGTCTGCGGACGGAAGGCCGGGAGGCAGGGCTCAGATCCCAGCGGCTCCCGCTCCTCATCTGCTCCAGCCGCAGGGTGGTTCCAAGCCAACTCACACTGACCATCGTGTTCCCCAGCACACGCTCACCTGCCTGCAGCACCCTCCTGTGTGTGTGCGTGCGTGTGCGTGTGTGTGTACTGGGACTTGAACTCAAGGCCTGGGTGCTAGCCCTTAGCTTTTTTTGGCTCAAGTTTGGTGTTTTACCACCTGAGCCACAGCTCCACTTTTGGCTTTTTGCTAAGTTAACTGGAGAGAAGTACCAGTACAGAGTTTCCAGCCTGGGATGGCTGCACAGTGTGATCCTCAGAACTCAGCCTCCTGAGTAGCTGGGATTACAGGTGTGTGCCATAACACTCTCCTGTATCTCCCTCTGAAAGCCCCTTGGGCACCTTTGTACCGGGAGGGCTATCTGGAGGCGGTACCAGCCCTTTGTGATCTCCCCTACATCAGACTTAGGCCACGCAATGTTTGTTGGCCTCCAGCCTCAAATCCATTCTTTTTTTTTCCCTGGTGCTGGGGCTTGAACTCAGGGTTCTAACTCTTGCTTGGCTTTTTTGCTCAAGCTGGTGCTCTAACACTTGAGCCACACCTCCACTTTACTTTAGCATTTTGCTGGTTCATTGGAGATGATAGTCTCACAGACTTTTCTGGCAGAGTTGGCTTCAAACCACCATCCTCAGATCTCAGCCTCCTGGACCCCAGCTCTGCCCAAGCCTGAGAAAAGTGCAGGCTTCTGGAGATGGGCCTGGCCCTGGATGTCTGATGGTCGCTTGCTGATGTTTTACTTAGTGGTAGCCTTCCTGAGAACCAAGCAGAGGACAAATGTTGCTCTGCTAGCCTAAACCCTTGCCCGGGCTGCTCCAGACTCAAACCTGCCAGTTTCAGATGGGGCTTTTCCAGAGAACTCAGCAGAATGTTCTGTGGCTTCAGATCCAGGTGAGAGATGTTCCTCTCATGCAGAAACTGCAGGGCACTGGCTGGAGAAGAAGACAGAGAGACAGGTCAGAGCAGCGCTTTCCACCTGTCTCTCCCAGACAATCCGCCCCACAAAGCCTTACAACCCCCTGCAGGGCCTGGCTGATCTGCACACAAGCAGCAAACTCTTGCCAGTTTTTTTAGGTGGGGGGGAAGTGTTGGTACTGGGCTTGAACTTAGGGCTCTGAACTCTCATTTGGCTTTTTTTTTTTTGCTCAAGGACGGCACTCTTATCTCTTGAACCATAGCTCTAGCTCCATTCCCAAATTTTTGCTGGTGAATCAGAGAGGAGAGTCTCACAAACTTTCCTGCACAAGCTGTCTTTGAACCTCAATCCTCAGATCTTAGCCTCCCGAGTAGGTAGAATGACAGTTGTGAGTCACCAGCACCTGGCTCTTTACACTTCTAAGAGTTTGCTGCCTCCAGAATGCTCTCTGGGCTGGCTCCGAGCGCTTCACAAATCCCTCCTCCCCCAGAAGCCTGAACAGCCAGAGCCTTTTGGAACCATATGCTTTTCCTTGCTAACACACTTGGGCTCCACTAACCCTGCCCTGGAATGTTCCACCCTGAAGATGGAGGCTTGTCCATCTTTCACAGTATCCTACACCTAGGAAGATGGGAAACAAAGGAGAGGCTTTCAGAATTAAGCCTGGCAGTGGACAACTGCAAAGCCTGGCCTGGGTAAAGACCAGGGAAGAGGGCTGGGAAGGTGTCTCATGCATGCATGAGGCCCTGGGTTTGATTCCTCAGCAACACATGAGCAAAAAGAAAAAAAAAAGCCGGAAGTGGTGCTGTGGCTCAAGTGGTAGAGCGCTAGCCTTGAGCTGAAGAGCTGAGGGACAGCGCCCAGGCCCAGAGTTCAGGGCCCA